AATATTTAAATTTAATTACTTGTTGTGTTGTATATAATATGGGAAATATTTAAATTTAATTAATTATTGTGGATTTTACAAAATAGCTATTTTAAATTTAAGTGCGTATTTAATTGAGATTTTTAAAAAAAATTTGAAGAATTTTTAAGACTTTGAAAATTATGTATAATTTAATTTAGAGTTCTCAAGACTTACAAAAGTCTTGAGATATTCATTTGGTATTCATCCCGATGTATTTAATTATTTGAGATTAAGATTTGTTAAAACTTTCTAAGATTTGTTGGAATTTCTAAAGAAACAAACATATACTAAAACTCATTACAAATCTCACATCCAAACTTAAAATTTCACAAGATTCCTCTAATTTAAAAATTTCAAATCTCGAATAGCCTTTAAATGTCACTTGAAATTCCAAACGAATACACCTACTTGTCGTGGATTTTACAAAAGCTACCTGCTAAAGAAGTATGAATATCTAGTTGCCACTTAAAATTGGTAAATTTTACTAAATGTATATATTGTCGAAAAATTTTACTAAAATCAAAAATAACTTCAGTTACTAAAAAACAAAGTATCATAAATTAGTGAGAATAAATAGATAAAATATTGTGAGTGAATCAATTTTTTGATAATAAAAAAAATTATTTTCGAAATTCAAAGGTACTAAAGATAATAAGGAAAAAAGAGAAATATAACGGCTACACAGTAAATGAGGTTTTGACCAATATGAACATAGCAACACATTAATACAAATCAAATATGTTTTTATAATAAAATAATAAAAAAAAATTGAAAAGTAACGGTTTTTGGCGGGAAAGTGTCACGTAAGTATAATTTAATAGGTTTTATTAAATACGTATGAGCCAGTAATTATATATATATAGATTATTGAAAATAAAAACTATTATTTATGATAAACTGGGGATGTCATTTTAAATAATTATCACTTTATTAGTTTCCACTATTTATTATACATTAATTGTTTATAATTTCATAATAAGAATATAAATTATATTACTTCGTTTTTGTTGTACAAATATTACATTTTTTTTAACTACGTGCTGTAAGTATTAGTAAATTTATTATTTCACACAAACACATATGACATATTGCCTCATTATATAAACTCCACAAATATCAGAAATCCCAACATGTATCTCTCATTTGAAATGCATAATCAAAACATTGGGAGATTCTACGACTCTCGTTACGTAACATTCCGTCGGGTTTGTGACCGTTAGATCAATTACTCATAACAGTTACATGATAATCTAACGGTTACAAATCTCGAATGGTTCCATAACCGAACTGTAACATTTGCCGAAAACATAAGCAGAATTTTTATTCCCATTAAGTAATAAATCCATCTTGAGCTCAAAATAAGGTGATGAGCTCAATAGTCAATGCTGCTTACATACAGCAGTTTATTTATGTCACAACCTTAATTAATTAGACACATCAAACATATGTATAATGTGTTTTTTTCAAGTAACTCTGTTAACAATTCGACTTATCCGCTGGCCGATCGACCTTCTGCCATCCCGTGCAGTGCTGAAGAAAATGCTTCAAATCGTCGTTTGGTGGCTCGACTGTCCAATTGGCATAGTACTCGCTCGGTTTAAACACGCACGACTTGCTCGGAAGAGGCAGCAAGCCCGACTCGGTTTTGTCGACGAACAAATCGCCTTCCGACTCGATTAAACCCGTACATTCCTCGTTTTTATCGGCCGCCTGAAGAGAAATTCGCACAAATAACTACTCAGGTTTTATTTTAAACACGCGCGAAAATAAACAAACTGCACGATTTTATTTTAAACCTTTTCCTTATAGTATTTGAATGCCGCTCTATGCGGATCTTCGTATATGTTGCATTGCGAGTACACCTAATTACACAAACCCACCGAGAAAACACAAATGTTAGCGAAATATAAGTAATTAAGACAAAATATCGAGTCATGGAGCGAAGAAGAAAAAGAAAAAAGGAAAGGAAAGTCGGGTTCTCACATGAGCCTCCACGCTGGCGCAAACGCCGTAAATGCCCCAATTTCTCGTGTAATTGTTGTACAAATGCACTCTCGCGAACCGAACGCGCGGGTGCCTCTGGCGGGTCCCGTCGAAAAAGCAGTGGTGAATAGTGACGCGCATGTTCCGGTCGCCTGTGTGGGAGGCCGATGCCCCCACGAGCACCGCCTTGTTGTGCCTCGCAAAGTGGCATCTAATAACCGAGACAACAAGAAATACGGTCGAGCGAAAAGTGAAGCGAATCGAAATTAAAACGTACGAAAGAAAAGTAAAATGCGCATTTCGTAACTTTTTATGAAGAGAAAAATCGAAATTCCACTCAAAGAAAGCCATATCTAACCGAGAAAAATAGTAATGTTCGTGCTCTCTCGGTTGATATAAAATGAACGTTTGTAACTTTTGAAAGAATGATAAAAAAATTCCACTCGATGAAAGCCATGTCTAACCGAGAAAAATAGTAATGTTCATGCTCTCTCGACTAGTATAAAATGCACATTCGTAACTTTCGAAAGATAAATCGAAATTCCCCTCCAAGAAAGCCATATCTAGCCGAGAAATAGTAATGCCCGCGCTCTCTTTGTTGATATAAAAGGCACATATAACTTTCGAAAGATGAGTCGAAATTTCACCTGACAAAAAAGAAGACCTATCTAACCGAGGAATATATAGTAATGTTCGTACTATCTCGGCTGATATAAAAGGCACATTCGTAACTTTCGAAAAGACGAATCGAAATTTCACCCGACAAAAAAAAATACATATCTAACCGAGCAATATACTGTAATGTCCGTGCTCTCTCGGATGATATAAAATGCACATTCGTAACTTTCGAAAGAATAAATCAAAATTTAACTCGACAAAAAAAAAAGCACATATCTAACCGAGAAATGGTGATGTCCGTGCTCTCTCGGCTGATATCAATAAGGCCGTCGTTAAAGTCGCTAAGGCTGCAACGGTCGATCCAAATGTGCTTCGAGCTCGGTTTTATCTGAATAGCGTCTTTGTCGTGGCCCCGGCCGCCTTCGAGTATAATGTTGCATATGATGACGTGTTCGCATTCTTTCAACCTAAGACCATCCCCGGTGAGTTTGACTTTTTTACCACGACCGTCGATTGTCTTGTGGGACGACACGGAGAGATGCGAACGGAGATCGATCATGCCCGAGACATCGAACACGATCCATAGCGGCTCCCGTTTACGGCACCCATCGCGTAGAGAACCGGGCCCATCGTCTAGGGATATACAATAATTATAAAGAAAAAATTATAAACAAAAGTATGATATTTTATGATATAAATATATCCTTTTTACAGTTTTACCGGCCAGGGTGGTGACACGGTAGACGGCGCCGTTAAAGCCACCGGCGGCCAAACGGCCGAAGCCTTCAGCTTGGCCAGCCAATCCCCGCAGGCAGGAGTCCACGTGTCCGTACGGCAGAAGCAATCCCATGTTTGAGTTCCCAAATGTTGGGACGTTGTGCAATATAATATTTTACTTGTGTTTTTTTGGTTTATAATGAATGTTCTAGGATTTATTATTTATAGGTGTGGGAGGGTTTATTTAATTCGTTTTTTATTTAATTTAATTACTTGCCCATATAAATAATGAATCGATGTGAAACAGTTGAGTTTTGGTGATCGTGCTTTAGATGATAAAGTTGTGGATGTGAAACAAATCAAATATTAATTTGATGAAATAAAATAATTAGGTAAAATAATGAAATAATTAATCGATGATTAAGAATAAGTGAGTGGATATAAATTTTATTAAAATTGTGTAGTTGATTTTATCTATTTAATTGAATTATATTATGGAGGAGAAAAAATTTGAATTAAACGAATGTAATTTTTTGAGAAAAAAAAAATGTATCAAATCGTAGTTCCGATCATAATAATATAATAATAATGATAATAAATTAATAATAATAATAATAATAATAATAATATATCCAACGAGACAAAACAAAAAAAATACAATAAAACTATAAAAATATTCTCTGAATAGATATATATGAAATGTCACACTATAAAAATATATAAATAAAAATGACATTTAATAGTATAAGTATGTATTTTTTGTTGAAAAGACATAATGGTTCGATCCGCCTAATAGTTAGGCGGTCACACACAAAAATTGGTGAATTAAAACTAATATCCATAATATTCTAATTAATTTTTCCCCTTCTGGTATTTACTATTATTTAATTAATGAATTTATTATTAGTAGTGGAAGACGAAACCGACCTACACATTTAAGTGTTGGGTGATTCAATTAATTTCATTTTGACTTTCATAATCTAACTGCCAATCTTAATTTCTTTTTCTGTGTAATTAATTTATGTTATCTTTAATCGTGGTCAGACAAATATATTAACTCTATTTTATTTATTATCTTATGTAAGCTTCTTGTTAAGGATGGGCATATTCTAAGCTCTATAGTTTGTATAAAAATTTAAAATGTTTGACAAAAAAAAAAAAAAAATCATGACATTACAATCCCAACAATGGCCAAAGTATCTGTACTAACCAATAGTGGCCATGGGTGATGATATGTATGAATTTCATCAATTTTGGTGGAGTTCGGGTTATTCGAGATGAGTCGAGTCAGGTTTCTAACACTTGAACTCGTTTAAAAATTGAGTCCGTTCAACTTAGGATTGTCATTTTAAATTTATATATAATTATTTTTTCTCATTTAACTTCTACTAACTAATGATAGTGACAAATAATTAAGGGACGATCACATTAGAAGACGGAACCAAATTGTTACTATAATTAAAATAAAGCTAATTGCACGTAAAAACGTGACCTCTTGTGAAATTGTAAATAGAACTCTATTTTTTAATTGTTGCAAATAAATACTATATTCTTTATATTTGTTGCAAATTTGTGGCTTTTGTACGTTAAAAAATAAAGTCCCAAATTTCCACAGTAGAAGAAAAAACGAATCCAAAATACTTATCATTGTTGGTCTCAGCGCAAGGCGAGTGGTCGGAGGCGCCGTAGGTGGCGATCACCTACGACAGACACCCTGACTTGCCAATCGTTGACTTTATTTTATTTAATAGAAAAAATATAAAATAAAGTGAACGGTTCGACCGATCAAAAGACGAGATCTTAACCCAACCGGCCAGTTCCATTTGGCTTTTACAAGGTACAACTATATAGACGTGGTCATGTTCCGGTTCCGGGTCGAATCTTAGAGGCCCTAAACCGGCCTGATAATATATACGGGTCGATTCAATAAACACGCGGTTCAAGGTTGGTTCATGAACAGTCAGTTCCAGGCTAAACTCATTTGTTTAAAAAAGAATTAAAAATAAAATTTTACTTAGAACACTACAGAAAAACACTATAATTCTAACGAAAAATTCCAACGGCAAAAATTTCCGTTGGAAATTCCAATGAATATTCCAACAAACTTAATTTTATGTTGGAATAAGTGTTGGATAGTTGAGGAATTCCAACGAATTATTTCCGTTGGAATAGCTATAAGAATTTATTTCCATAGGATTTTTCGTTGGATATTTGTTATTTCAACGGTCATTTTTCCAACGGATTTTTACATTTAGGAATATCCGTTGGAATAGCTATTCCAACGAAAAAATTCCGTTGGAATGTAAGAGTTTTTTTTTTGTAGTGGAATTGTTAGTTTCGATTTCAGATTTAGATTTGAAACCAGAACCGCATCGGGTAAAACCACGGTTCGGTTCAAGGCCTGTTGACCACGGGCTTGACCAGGCTAGTTCCGACCCCGTGGCCATGACTACTACTGTGATAATTCCTTATTTACATTTTTATATTATCGTCAATTAAATATTTCATTGAATCTTAGTCTTCACAATCCCTCAAAAAAAGATTTCAACACTGTTCATTCATTGAACAAATGACTCGATCATTCTTATAGAATAAAATTCGGGCCATGTTTCTGTAAACGACACAAAGTGGGCCGATCAAAAATGGGCCGATCCAAAAGTCCGAAGACAACATTTGGGGTATTAATGGAAATATGGTCATTGATTACATATTTTGAGTTTAATATAATAGTACATGCCGTTTCGTTTAGACGCATACATAGATGACGTGAAACATATAGAAGACGAGTTTTGAGCTGCAGAGGATCGTTATAAAAAATATTTGTCGGCGTAACTCGATACGAACGCAACTTTTACGTTTGTGTTTCGAATTGCTATTATAATAAGTTTTTCGAAAGTGGAACGACGATTTTACTTGAACGCATCGCACCAGGGCTACAGAGACCAAGTGAACATATAGATTTCATATTGTTTCCAAATTAAACCGTGTTTGAATTTTGAAACCGTTGCTAATTTTTTTATTTTTTTTTTTTGAATGAGGGACATTTGTATATGTCCATATATTAAGGTACTACCAAACATAAAAAGGAGCCGAATTTTGTCACAATTTTGGATTTTGTGGTTGATTGTATGCTGTCACAATAATATTCGATTATATAGATTATATAACCTAAAGTTAATATCACAATTGAAATATGCCGAACCCATAAATCATAATATAACGCCTTTTGTCATTTTCCAATAATGCTATTTTTGTACTGTAATTATAATTTATTCAGGAACTTTCAAATTAAACTTTGGTGATATTAATTAATTGCAAATTTATTTATTATTATTTTTTGTAATTAAGATGACATTTAATAAAAATGAAAGAAATGATACAATTTTAATATTGTCTATTTTTATAGTGATTCAAATTTCTAAAAATTATTATGCTCTTATTTTCAATTGTTGTGCTCGATATGTGCTTGTACTATAGTTCGATTCTACCAGTGAATACGGAATAAAAATATTTGTTGACTCAACACATATATACATACCCACATTATTACAACCGGAGGAAGAGAGTGTGGTCCCACTAGATGAAGGCGCATCATAAGAGGGTGAGTCTAGATGCACCTTAGTGAAGTTTCATTCCAAAACCAATTGGTGATAGGAGGAGTAGGCCACTAGGCTTATATACTAGACTCATTTTCCCTATAAAATCAAGAGGAAATAGTTATTTTCACCCCGTTCTGAAGTCACACTAAGTTTTTCACACCACCCAACAAAAAGCTAAGTTTTTCACCCCAAAAAGTACGAAGACATATGCGATGA